AAAAAATACTATCCTGATAAATTGTGTCTCCTGGATAGAATGAATTTAATTGTGTTTGAATGGTATATTTTTATACTTCGCATATTTTTTGGAGAAGTCACCTCCCAATAAATGTCATTTTGGAAAATCTAACTGCTCACTTTTACTCAGTACTTTTACTTTTAACACTTAAGTAGATTTTGTGTCAGAAATTTACTTTTGATACTTAAGTACAAAACYTATCAGATACTTTAAGACTTTTACTCYAGAAATATTTTTAGGGATGACTTTAATTCTTACCAAAGTATTTTTTATGATAAGATACTTGTACTTTTACTCAAGTATCACTTTGTGGTACTTTATACAACACTGTGTGTGGCTTCATTATGGACCCAATAAAAGTTTTGTACGTATTTGTTTTAAAACTCAGAAAATCCACTTTATATCTGGTCTGTGTTTGATTCAGTCCAGTCAAAGCTGAACTTTTCTCCCAGCTGAGAGTCAGTCACAGACAGTCTGCAACATCCCAGTGAGTTCAAAGAGTTAAATACTTTGTGTTTCTCTTTGGAAGTGGMTTTGATCTTGAAACAACAAGGGGTGCGTTATTAAAGAATGTGAAGCCACAAAGATGGAGTCTTTTTTTCCTGTTCTGTCTTCTCTGAACAGGAGTGCAAAGAGCTCAACATCCAGTTCCACCTGCTGCGCGGCGCAGCGGGGGACYTCCTCCCTGGCTTTGTGTCGGATCACAGGTTCGGGGCACTGGTGACGGACTTCTCCCCCCTCAGAGAGCCTCTGCAGTGGCTGGAGGACGTTCAGAAGAAACTTCCAAAGGACGTCCCCCTCATTCAGGTGTGAAGACTTGTCATAAATCCACATCCTGGATCAGCAGGATGTCTGTTCTCCTGGTTGTTTGTTCCGTGTGCCCTCTCTGTTCCTGCAGTTAGTCGCTTCATTCAGAGTTTTCTCCTCCTCAGGTCGATGCTCATAATATCGTCCCCTGCTGGGTAGCATCGCCCAAACTGGAGTACGCTGCCAGAACCATCAGAGGGAAAATCACCAGTGTCCTGCCTGAGTTCCTGACTGATTTCCCTCCTGTGGTGGAGCACAAGTACAGTGCTCAAAAGCCGGCAAAAGTAAGAACTGCAGAGTTAATGTGGACTTTGGAGGTCTGATACTTTCACTGTGATGAAAAACAAAACTCTAAGACCTAAAATAACCATTTACAGCGGGTAAAATAAGTATTGAACACGTCACCATTTTTCACAGTAAATATATTACTAGAGGTGCTAATGACATGAAATTTTCACCAGATGTCGGTAACAACCCAAGTGATCCATTCATACAAAGAAATCAAACCATAAATGTCCAGAAATGAAGTTATTTGTAATAATGTGGAATGGCACAGGGAAAAAGTTCTTGAGAGAGCTCTTTACTTTTACCCATCATCAGATGGTTCTTGTGTGATACCTGGCCATCATTTGGG